TTAAAACTAGAATTGGAATTAGAACCTTTGCCTTGCATTTTCATAGTCTTTTATACACACCCAATCGTACAGTTCTGCCTTTAAGGGCCCCTTCCCTGAAAGAGCAGAAGGGGCTGGATTGCTCATTGGGGAGCACCTCATTTCCAGCAGACACTGTTAGCCTTGGCACAGCTGGTAAAATAAAGAACTGTCATGAATGAGACACACAATCTCACTTGATCTGTGCTCCCTTTTCCAGATGTGAACGAATGTGAACTGCTCAGTGGTGTGTGTGGTGAAGCCTTCTGTGAAAACGTGGAAGGGTCCTTCCTGTGTGTGTGTGCTGATGAAAACCAGGAGTACAGCCCCATGACTGGGCAGTGCCGTTCCCGGGCCTCCACAGGTAAGTCCCAGTGGCCCTGGGAAGGGAATAGAGGGTTCCTGTCAGGGACCTGAACCTGCACAGGTTGGGGCTAAACACTCTGGGAGTGAGGTAAGAAATAGCCACATGTCCTGGCACATTGCTATCTCTGGAAGCCTCCGTGCCCTTCCTGTGCCTGCCTTATCAGTAGAATTAGGATGGGACTAGAGGGCCTCCAATGTGCTTTCCAACCCAGAGACGCCTTGAGTAGAGTAAAGGATCCAAAATGATGAGAACATTTGCTGGGGATTGCTTAAAATTTAGAGCGCTCTCAGCTCCAGGATTAGTATGGCATCTTCTCTTTGGGTTGCGTAATCCTCCCTTCTTGGCCTTAGGAGTAGTATGTCTTGACACTTCTCTAAATTAAAAGCAACGTATAGGCCTCTCAGGATCTACAAAGACTTCCACTTGGAATTCTTGAGGTGTTTTTCCAGAATTTGGCCTAGAGAGTGGCTGTGTTTGCATTCGTTTAAAATTTGATTTTGGCTGTGTCATTATCGCACCAATTGAAATGGAGAGCTGACAGCTTCCCAGATAAATTAATCAACTTCCAGATCACCCTTTCAGTTTGTGCCATGTCGTTATAGCTTGGTTGTATTTTAGGGAAAGCAAAAGACCAAATGGTTCTTCGAGAGCCAAGTAAAATTAAACAGGATTTTTCCTTCTTTCTCAGTCAGTTTTATCCATGCTTCTGCTCCTCTGTAGGGTACATTGTTCTGTGTAAAATGACTATCTTTGCAAGTAATAGGGAATACAATATGAAAATTAACTTAATCCACACTTTTATTTTGGGCCAATTATTAAATATAGAAAGGCAAAGGGTACAGAATTAAATGAACAGACAGTAATTCAAAAACATTGTCTGTGAAGGGGAAGAGATAGGTTATTACTGGAGGGTTGCTGTTCACGCAAGTGGCCACCACTGTGGTACATATGCCATAAAGAAAAGACTTTTCCTCTTTGTTGTACCTACAATAGCAAACAACAACAACAACAACAACAACAACAAAACCAAACAAAAATCTAGTTGGCCAATAGCAGAATTGGGCAAGTAACTGTTTTCTTATTTGTCTTTGGTTCTGTAGAGTAATACCTCACCCATAATTTTATTTTGAATGAATTAATTCACATATCATAATATTTTATAGTCATTAAATGGTTTTTCTGAAGATTAAGTGGTCATGATAAAAATAAATGTATATGATACTATGTCAAGTAAAAAAACAGGGATATTCCATTGATCACACTCTGTAGAAGGGAAGGTGAGAATACATAAAAATATAATAGTTTGACTTAATGGAAATTGTAGTTTTTTCCTTTATTTTCCAAACTTTCTGTGATACTTTATGTGGGAAGACCAGAGTTCTGGTCCACTAACCACTTGCTGGCTATGTAAGCCTGGGCATCTCAACATCTGTGAGTTTTGGTTTCTTACCTGTAGAGAGAAAAGTTTTATTTATTTCACAGAGTTTTATGAATTTTTAATCATGTATGTAAAAATTATTTGTTAATGACAAAGTACAATATGAAGTATTAAAGTTGTAAACTATATCCCAAACACAAGGGATATCTATTTCTCATTCTATTATGATCTCTTCTGAAATGATGGATCTTTTAACTACAGATATTTTTGTTAGAATGTTTTAATAGCATAAATAAATGGTTCATGCAGTTCACATAGCTTCAGTTAGGGTATATGTCTGGGATCCTGAAGTTTGCTCATTCCTT